TGCTGAGAGATGGTCTACGAGACCTCTCCCTCCCTTCGCGAAGAGAAAACAGAGAAAACCGAGCTTGGTTCGCAAACCGAGGTAAAGCATGAAAGAGTCCGGAAGTCCGAAGGCAAAGCTCGCAGCCAGGACTCTGAAACTTCTGAACGAGCACGATATGCAACGTCACCGAGCGCTCAATCGGTGATGTCTGAGTCTTAAGGTCGGTCAAAAATGGGGTGTCTACAACATTCAACCATGCAAAACTCATTTTCCTGGGCCAAAACTTTGGAAAACACTTGGTAACCCATAAAAAAACATGTTTAAAGCTTCAATTCAAGAAAATCATGGCCCAAGAGTAAACCAATTTGTGCAAAATCAACATGAACTTTATGAACATGCTATTAATTCAACATGCATGAACCTCTTTGAATTTAAACCTTCCAAAACGTAACCAAACTTAATAATTTGATGGAAAATAAGTTGAATGGCTATAATATGAGTGAAATTGACACATGCATGGAAGAAATCTTAGAATTCCAACTCAAAACATGGAAATTTGTGCATGCATGCATGGATTCCTTAGAAGGACAACTCAAGTGTTATGAACTACACATGCATGTATGTATTGAGCTTCAATTCACCAATCTTAGCTTAAACCTAACATGAGTCCCTTTAATTCACTAGAATTCTTACATTAACAAATCAATTCCATAATTAGTAGGGTGAATGCCTACCTCAAGTCTTGAATTCCTCAAAGTGAAGGCTCTAATATGCAAATCCTTCTATTCCTCCTAAACTCCAAGCAAATCCCTTGTTGAATCCAACCTCCCTTCAACTCTCTCTCTCTCTCTCACGTTTTGCATCAAATGAATGGATGAGTGAAATGAAAATGTGAGATCAGAGGAATGGAGGAGTGAAATGAAAATGTGAGCTAGTGGAGTCTAAAAGGGTCCATAAGTGGTAATGATCAAAAAGTAAATAAATAGAATATTTTAATCTAGTTTAATCGTTCTGAACTGAATTTTAATTAAACCTACCATAAAATTCTATGAATCCTAACTAACACATATGTCAAGTCAATTTCGAAATCGGGCGCCGATAAAGTTTTCAATTCGCAGTTCAAAGTCTAAACATGAACAGATTATTTTATGGAAACAGATAGAAACACTAAGATAATGCAATACATATGCAATTTAATTTTGGATTCCTTCTAAATTACTGTTAGGCATAATTAATCATGGTTTAGCATTAATTGGAGGTCGGGGTTATTACAGTCTTCCCCCCTTAAAAGAGTTTGGTCCTCCAAACTCGAATTACCTTCATTCGAAATCAACATTGGGTCCAATGGGAACAAATCCGGATATCTCTTCATCATGTCTTCCTCGGTTTCCCAAGTTGCATAGATTCTTCCGTGGTTTTGCCAATCAACTTTTACCAACAGTATTTCTTTATTTCTTAACTTTTTGATCCGGCGATTCATAATCTGGATAGGTCTTTCCTCAAAAGTGTAGTCATTTTGCAAAAGCACATGTGTCGGTTCAATGACGTGGAGTGGATCTCTCAAATATTCCCGAAGCATAGATACATGAAAGACGTTGTGCATATGTTCCATTACCGGAGGCAAGGCTACCCGATACAACACTGGATTGATCTTTTCAAGGACCTCATAAGGTCCAACATACCTTGGCGCCAATTTGCCCTTAACACCAAACCGAGTTTAACCCTTCATTGGTGTCACTTTAATGAACACATGGTCCCCAACTTCGTATTCCTTATCTCTTCTTTGAACATCAACATAGCTCTTCTGCCGACTCTGTGCAGTCTTTAAACGTTGTTGGATCAGTTTCACTTTCTCGGTCGTTTCTTGCACAAGTTTCGGTCCCAACAAAGGTCTATCACCTACTTCAGCCCAACATATCGGAGAACGACATTTTCTTCCATACAAAGCTTCGTAAGCAGCCATTCCAATGCTTGAATGGTAGCTGTTGTTGTACACAAATTCAGCTAATTACAAGTAGGTCTCCCAATTCCCTTGGAAGTCTAACACACACATTCTGAGCATATCCTCCAGAGTTTGGTTCGTTCGTTCAGTTTGGCCATCTGTCTGTGGGTGATAGGCACTGCTTAGTCTTAATTCAGTCCCCGAAGCCTGTTACAAACTCTGCCAAAATCTCGATACAAACTTTGAGTCCCTGTTAGACACAATAGATATTGGCATTCCATGCAATCTCATAATTTCAGTCATATAGATATTGGCCAATTTATCAGCGTTATAAATAGTTTTGACAGGCAGGAAATAGACAGACTTAGTTAAATGGTTATATCAACTATAACCCAGATAGAGTCCATACCTTGAGAAGAACGAGGCAATCCCACAATGAAGTCCATAGTAATGTGCTCCCATTTCCATTCCGGTATTGGGAATGGTTGTAGCAATCCAGCAGGTCATTAGTGTTCAGCTTTAACCTGTTGACAATGTAGACATCTAGCCACGAAATCGGCAATACTCTTTTTCATTCCAGGCCACCAAAAATTCTGTTTCAAATTATGATACATCTTCATGTTCCCCAGATGCATAGCAAATTTACTACTGTGAGCTTCGGTCATAACACGTTTCCTCAAATCATAACAATGGGCACATAAAGACGGTTTTGAAATTTCAGCACATCATTCTCAAACACAAATCTGAGCCTCGGCTTTGAATCAAGTTCCTCCGCGATCTTTTTCAGGTATTTATCCTCGCATTATTTCTGTTTGATCTCGTCAAGAATTGTAGGTTGAGCAGCGATAGCAGTTAATAGCCCATCTTGTTCTAGGTCAGTCAACAATTCTTTTCGGTTGGATAGCAAACATGACAAATTCGCACTGGATTTTCGGCTCAAGGCATCTGCTACGGTATTAGCTTTTCCTGAATGATACAAGATTTGCAAATCATAAACCTTGATTAGTTCTAACCATCGTCTCTGTCTCATGTTCAATTCCTTTTGAGTGAAGAAATATTTAAAACTTTTATGGTCTGTATACACCTCGCAAGTTACCCTATACAAATAGTGACGCCATATTTTCAAAGCAAACACTATAGCCGCTAATTCAAGATCATGTGTTGGGTAATTCTTTTCATGAAGTCGAAGTTGTCTAGAAGCATAGGCAATCACCCTTCCGTTTTTCATTAGTACACACCCCAAGCCTTTATAGGAAGCATCACTGTACACTTGAAACCCATCAGTGCTATTAGGCAAGGTTAAGATTGGTGCAGTCACTAACCTGGTTTTCAACTCTTGGAAAGCTGCCTCTCTTTGTTCATTCCAGTCAAATGACACATTTTTCTGAGTTAACTGAGTCAATGGCATGGCAAGCTTGGAAAAGTCTTTCACAAACCTCCGGTAGTAACCTGCAAGTCCCAGAAAACTTCGGACTTCTGTCACATTTGTCAGTCTAGGCCAATCCATGACAGCTTCAATTTTCTGAGGGTCAACAGAAACTCCATCTTTGTTGATTACATGTCCCAAGAATGCCACACTGTCAAGCCATAATTCACATTTGGACAATTTAGCATACAATTTCTTTTCTCGCAAAATCTGCAAGGTGGTTCTCAGATGGTTCTCATGTGCTTCCCTGTCTTTAGAATAGATCAAATTGTCATCAATAAATACAACAATGAAGTCATCCAGATATGATTTAAACACCATATTCATAAGATCCATGAATGCTGCAGATGCATTGGTCATCCCAAACGGCATTACTAAAAATTCATAATGTCCATATCTAGTTCGGAATGCGGTTTTCTTTATGTCCTCAGCTCTAACCTTTAATTGATGATACCCGAACCTGAGGTCAATTTTGGAAAACACTTGGGCACCCTGAAATTGATCAAACAAGTCATCTATTCGGGGCAGAGGGTATTTATTCTTGATAGTCACTTTGTTCAGTTCTCGGTAGTCTATACACATTCTCAAAGATCCATCATTCTTTTTGACAAACAAAATTGGAGCACCCCAAGGTGAAGTACTCGGACGAATAAATTTCTTATCTAACAGTTCCTGAAGTTGGGTTCTCAATTCTTTCAATTCAGAGATAGACATTCTATAGGGAGTCTTGGAAATAAGTTGTGTCCCCGGAAACACCTCAACAGTGAATTCAATTTCTCTATCTACTAAGTCCCCAAGTAAGTCAGTTGGGAACACATCGGGAAATTCACAGCAACATGGATTGTTTCTACAGTAGTACTGTCAGATGGTGCAGTCAATATACAACACAGATAATCCCTACATCCCTTCCTAAGGAGTTTTATAACTTTCACAGCTGAAATCAAATATGGGGGAGGAACTACCCCATTCCCAATGAAAGTAAATTCAGGCATACCCGGTGGTCTAAACACAACAGTTTTATTTGCGAAGTCAATGGTAGCACAGTATTTAGTCAACCAATCCATCCCCAAAATACAATCAAAATGATTAATGTCCAAGGGTAATAAGTCCACAAATATGAGCACACAACATAGAATCCCTAGATGGCGTAGACACAGATAATACATAGGTCATAAGTTCTAAGGGTCTAGTCAATTTTCAAGAAAAAGCATGCGATACAAAGGAATGTGTAGAACCAGAATCTATCAGTACACATGCATTTTAAGAACACATAGAGAGTGTACCTAACACCACAGTATAGGTGTTCGGTACGTCACCGGGCACTAAGGCAAACACTCGGCCTTGTCTCAGAGGTTCTTTCCCAGTATTGGCTTTGGCATTGGTTTTGGCCACAGAAGCGGATCCCGCTGATCTTGCTGCAGAACGGCTAGTAGTCTCAAACCTGGGCGGGCAATCTTTCACTACATGACCTGGCTGGCCACACCGGAAACAAGCACCGGACACCCGGTAGCACACACCTCTGTGCCTCTTACCACAATCAGAACAGACCGGAATAGACCCACTACTCTGACTCGAGCTGTTCGAAGTCCTTGTGTTTTGCTTCTTACTAACAAAGGACCGGCCTTTTTTAAAACCAAACCCGGATCTTTTTCCTCTCCACTCAGTTGTTGTAGTTGCTGGGGCTTTACCTTGTTTCATGGCGGCTAGAGTGGCCTCTGCCATTAAGGATCTGTCTAACACTTCCACATAAGTAGGCAATTTCTGTACGCCTACTCGATCAAATACCTCTAAATCCAATCCACCTTCAAACTTTCGTGCTTTCTTGTAATCAGTATCCACTATATGTGGAGCAAACCGTGCCAGTTCGGTGAATTTAGCTTCGTATTCTGCCACAGACATTCTTCCCTGTTTGAGTTCTTGAAACTCGGACACCTTCTGATCCCTGAAGCATTGGGGAAAATATTTATCATAAAAGATTGCATTGAACTGTGCCCATGTCATATTCCCATTACCACTTCGAATCAGTAACCACCACCTGCGGGCTTCGTCTTTCAAAGTGTAGGTGGCTAGGAGGACTTTCTGAGTTTCAGAACAAGGAAATACTTCATACAATTTTTCCATCTCAAGCAACCACGTCTCAGCTCTCAAAGGTTCAATTCCACCATAGAACGTTGGCGATTTCATTTTCATAAATTTCTGTGTCAGATTGATGATGTCAGTATTATCTGTCTCGGCTTGTGCCGATGGAGGCGGAGGGGGCAAGGGTTGTTGTCTCTGTTGTTGTGTCCAGGCATCAGTTAACACTGATAACATCTGTTCCATTCAGCCCATTCGAGCCTCTGAAGATTCACTTTCACCACTTCCCCTTGATTCTCCATCTTACTATACAGACATCAAATGATAATAAACACAGGCATAATCTTATTCATTTCTTTCAATTCGTTGGATTCAAATGTACATTCAGTTTTCATATTCAGTTGCATTACTGTCACGACCCAAACCCGCCCCTGTAGGTTTAGTACCGTAACCGACCAGTAATCCATGGATTACCAAAGGTCTCTGAACAGATTAGCAAATAATAAGGGGCTGAGGAAGCAATAATACAAAATAGACAAGGTCCAATGAGCTGTGATAACGTACATGGGACGGAACATTTTAAAACTTATATATATATATATATACATAAGCATGCTAGTCAAAGGACACCAATATTTACAAAGTATTACATCCCAAGACCTGTCCTTACAAAACATATACAGAGACTAGCATGAATACAAAAACAGCCATAGTATTAGACTTCGATCGGAACCTCCTCGGGAGGCACAACAGTTGGCTGACAAAACAGAACAGAAGGCTATCAACTCTGGCCCTAGTCACACGCCGGCTCACCTACATACACAATATAAACTGTGAGCGAAAACCCAATGAATAATAAGAAAGTAAAGGGTTTCAATGAATGAGTTCGTACAGATTCATAAATCATAATTCAGTTCATATCAAAGTCATAGTTTGTCCAGATCATATACAGACAGAAATCATAAGTTATGATTAAGTTTACGTGATACATCCATTAGCATAAACAGAACAGAACAGAACATATACACGTGAGGTTACGAATAACCAGTTCTATAAAGGAACCTCCGGATCCGGGTAACAGAACATAACAGAAGCTGAGCCCCTGTGACAGGGCCTCCGGTACGGGTAACAGAGTGCAGACAGAAATAAGTTTCGTAAATGAACCTCCGATACCGGGTAACAGCTAACAGATATCACATGATGCTAAGGATGTCACGAATACATATCAGAAATTGAACAATCATTTATTGTACAGAACATATCATTTTGGAAAACAGATCTTGTTTTATCACACAGAAAGTAGATACAGTTTGAACATAACTTTACTAAATTATTACTCACAGTTGGCCTTGAAACAGATAAACAGAGCAGATTGATCACACGACACGCGGCACGTGACCTACATAACACATAACGGACACACACTTGAAACACACATTCTAATTGCACAAAACTTATTTCGTTGGCTCTTAGTGTGTTTCTAATCTCTTATCCTCACTATGGGGTCTGAAACGTGGCCTAGGAATGCCTAGGTTGGAATGAGGATACAAAAATGCATTGAAAATCATTTCTCAAATTTTGCTGAAGATAAGTGTAGAGACACCATTTTTGACCGTCCTTAAGACTTGGATGTCATCGTTTGAACACTCGATGATTACCCTTGTTTGTGTTCGTTTTGAGTTCTCGGAGGTTTTGGCTATGCGCCTTACCTCAAGACCTCTCGACTTGTTTGTTTTGTGTTTGGTTTTGCATCAAACACTTGTGGTTTTGCTTCTGAGGGTGGGAAGTAGCTTGTAGGCCATCCCCACACCTCACCGGCCATGGCTCGAGGCCACCGGCCTTGTTTCCTTGCCACCGGCCATTGGTGATGGCCGGTCGGCACTATTGATGGTCGGTCGACATTGTGTTTGGTCGGCCGGCCACTATTTCTGATCAATCGGCCACTTTTCCTGGTCGAGACGTTTTCTTGAGGGAGCTTGACCCTTTTAAATCTTTTTTTTAGCTTCTTGAGGAAGCTTGAACCTTTTTAGCTTCTCCAAGAAGCTTGACCCTTTTTTAGCTTCTCCAAAAAGCTTGATCCTTTTTTTTAGCTTCTCCAATAAGCTTGAACCTTTTGACCCTTTTTTGGCTTCTCCAAGAAGCTTGACCCTTTTTTAGCTTCTCCAAGAAGCTTGATCCTTTTTTTAGCTTCTCCAAGAAGCTTGAACCTTTTGAACCTTTTTAGCTTCTCCAAGAAACTTGACCCTTTTTTAGCTTCTCCAAGAAGCTTGATCCTTTTTTTGACTTCTTGAAGAAGCTTGAATCTCTTGACCCCTTTGCCTAGCTTCTCCAAGAAGCTTGGCCCTTTTGCTCAAAGCTTCTAAGAGAAGCTTGGCCTTTTTGCTCAAAGCTTCTAAGAGAAGCTTTGCCCCCTTGGTTTCTCTATAAAAGGAGGGCCCCTCCTCCCCTTTTAAGGGTTAGAAAATCTGATATATAAGATATATATATCACTCTCTCTATATATCTCCCTCTCTCTCTACATTTGGGTGGGTTAGAGGGTCCAAAAGGGTCTTGTTCTTGGCCAATCGCACACCACTTCATAGCCACACACTTCCATCATCACTTGGAGGTTCTTAGAGCTCATTTTCAGAGGCCAAGGGACTGGTTTTTGAGACATAAAGGCTGCTGGTTCTTGCTGGTCTTCAAAGGTAACTTCTTACCCTCTTTATTTCCCGTTTTTGCACACACTTTTAGCCTATCTTGAAAGCTGTTTTGGGCTTTGTCATAAACTGAAAAAAGTCTTATTTTGAGATTCTTTTGAAGTTTGTTTAAGACCACTTTTGTGTTTGGGGTCATTTACCCCCTCTTAGGCCTTGTTTGGCCCCATTTTTGTGTGATTTTGGTGAGCTCCGGGACCACCTTGTTTGGGTCTCCTCACCACTGAAATCTTGATGGATTTCAGTGGTGAGGATGGTGGTTTGAGGTCCTAAGAAGGAGAGAGGTGACCCTCTCTGTTGTTGCCTTGTTTGTTGCCCTTTTTGGCCTTCCAAAGGGGCTCCTATTTGCATGCTTCCAATCCTTGTTTCAAGCATTTTTCAGTGGGTTTTAGGACCCCCATAAGCCATTTCCAGAGTTGGTTTGGTCTTGTTGAATGTCCTTATTGCATGTGTAGAGTAACCCTCTTGTTGGCCTTTCAAAGGAACACCCCATCCTAGCATGTGTGGACCTTGTTTCCATGGGTTTTTGGGGCTTATTTGACATACCATGTTACTGTTTTTGCTTGGTTTAATGGTCCCTTGCATGCACCTTACACTTGCCTTGCATTCCTTTGTTTTGCCTGGAAAAGCATTGTCACGCCCCAAACTTGCCCCTAAAAGTTTGGGTATGACCTACACAGAAACGGACGCATAACCTGGTATACATATCATATGGGGCCTGAAGGGAAGCATTTACCAATATAAATTAACATAAATAAAAAAAACTGCATCCATTGAGCGACCACTATCATGCCAGGATCACAGACAGAACATAAGGCAAATAAACATACAGTGACGTGCATCAGAGAGTTAGCTATGTACTTATATATATACAGACCCAGCCCTTAGAATTGGGCGTAAAACAACATGGACAGGCAAAGGAATTATATATACATCAACCTTAAGCAGACATTCAGAGTGTAAAATCAAAAGTTTAGCAAAAAGGGCTGCCTTCATTTAAGTGCCTGGACACTCTGAGGTTGACAGAAGATGCACGAATGCCATGGGTTAAAACTGACCTCCAGGTGGAGTGCCTACAGAAACAGACATAACACAAGGTGAGTCAAGCTCAGTGAACAGTAGTACATAAACAATTTAAAGATTAACTTAATTTACTTACAATGTACACATTTCTCTAATTAGATAAGTAAATGCAAAAATCCTGTGGTTAGTCTGATTCTGTACACATTTCAGGACAGTCTTGTCGGTTCATAACTTCATAGGTTGGCCCTTGGTCTGATGGGTTCACACATTCACAAATTAGCCCTTGGCTTAACTTAGATGCATAACTTCACAAATTGGCCCTCGGCCTTTGAGATTCATAGTTTCACAAGTTACAGATTCATACTTCACAAGTTGGCCCTCGGCCTCATAAGTTCACAAATTCACAAAGTGGCCCTCGGCCTCATAAGTTCATAAATTATACCTTTCATATCTTCACAAATTATATCTTTCATAAGTTCACAAGTTATACCTTTCATATCTTCACAAATTATATCTTTCATAAGTTCACAAGTTATACCTTTCATATCTTCACAAATTATATCTTTCATAAATTCACAAATTATGTCTTTCACAGAACGGCCATAGGTCTCATAACTTTCACATCGGCTTTAAGCCCAGTTCACATATGTATGGACTCAAGAGGTGGTTCGTACGGATTCTAGAGGTGACTCGCATTGCAGCACTTAGTTCCGTACAGCACTTTGTTCCATCCCAGAAGGTTCATAAAAATACTATCACTTAATAGTGTACACAAATCTCTTCATAGGTTATTCCAAGCTAAAATAATCGTCTTACGTGTATCGGAATCGTAGTAATACTTATTGATAGAAGATACATGCATCATTAGTCCATTTGTTCATCATGAATCAATAAAGTAAACTTCCAGATAACAAGACGTTAATAGCACCTATTAATGGTAAACAAAACGTACCAGTTTAGGACTATCCACAGTCCTATTTGATCATCTAATTTTGATAGTTCATTATGGAATGTCCAAACCGTCATGTTCCCAAAAAGGGTGGTTCACATTTACCATTCCTTCCTGTTAACCAATTCCATAGTATTAACTCCCGATTACGGAAGTACAGTAAAATCATTCCCTTAACACACACACAGCTTCTTTTCCACAACATGGGTTGCTTTTTATCCTAATGGACTCGACTTCAATAGTTCCATGAGATAATTTACAGATTCTAGCACATTAATTATAGCCCTTACTCGTAACCGGAATGTAGAGTAGTTTCCAAGTCATACTAACATACACAAAATTTTCCAACCAACATAACATTAGTATAATCACTTACA